CCCCCTCCACCTCCCCTACACACACACACACACAACAACAAAGAAAAAAAAAAAAGGACCATTTCTTGATTTGCGCATGTCATCCTCAGAAATTGCGCGGGGCGATCCATCCATACCAATTAATGAATTAATTAATTATGAACTGAGGTTAACCAATATTAATTGACTTCATTTAAAAACAAATAATAATATTTAAAAAAAAAAAATCCTAACTAACTAGGCTACCAGAATGGCCCGGGTCCACTTGCCTGGCCGGGCCAAAAATGTATAAAAGAATAAAAAAAATAAAGATAATTTTTTAATTTAAATTCTTATTTTAAATTTGGAAAAGAATTTCAAAGTGACCCTGAGGCAAAAGTTGCCTAGTTTATTTTTCTGCATGACATAGTTCTTTTTCGGATTTTTTTGATTTTTTTTTTCTTGGCTGGGACCTTGCCTGGTCCTTGCACGGCCTGGCCGCCCGGAAAAAATAGGGTGACCCGGGCGGCCCGGCTGGTAGCCTAGCTTATGACTCTTTATGAGGGTATTTTGCAAATTTTCTCTTTTTTCTTAAATCATCATCCTTCTCTTTATCATCATCCTCATCATCACAATTACTCCCCCAAATCATCTCCATCATCATCATCGCTCTCTTTTTTTTTTTTTTGTTCTTATCTTGTGAGTCAGATCGGCTTTGGCGGCCGACCGGTCGTACCCCACCCGTCATCATCACCATCGTTACCCTCCTCCTCCTCATTATCATTATCATTGGGCCTCGCTGCACTACTCTTGAAATGCACAAAAGACAAATATCATGTCGCTGTATCTTTCCATGTTCTAGCGGAAGATTCACTCTCGTTTTGCACCTTTCAAGAGTAGTGCAGCGAGGCCCATTATCATTATCACGATAAGCACATGCCCATCGTCATCATACCCACCATCGCCATCACCATCGCCGTCCGCCCCAAGGTGTCATCATCATCGTAGCACCTCCTCCTCCCCATCCTCCTCCCCCCCCCCCCCCTCCTCCTCTTATCATCAATCAATTACTTAATTAATTACTTCCAGTGGCAGTCCCTTCTCCTCCTTGCCCTCCCCCTCCTCTCCCTCGCCCCCCTCCTTCCCCTCCTCCTCAGTACAGTTCGTCATCATCATCATCATCACCATCATCATCATCATCATCCTCATCATCATTAAAGAGGGGGAAGGTGGAGAAGTGAAGGACGAGCAGGACAGAGATGACATATGAAAGAAAGAAAGAAAAAAAGAAAAAAAGAAAAAAATGATGATGACGGGAAGGAATATCATTTTCTTTGACAGCGTAATTAAAATTATAAAGAAACACACACACACACACACACACACAAAAAAAAAAAAAAAAAAAAAAA